GGCGGCGGTGGTGGTGGCAGTGCAGCTTTTTTCCCTCCTGCAGGTGGCGGCGGTGGTGGTGGCAGTGCAGCTTTTTTCCCTCCTGCAGGTGGCGGCGGCGGTGGTGGTGGTGCAGTTTTTTTCCCTCCTGCAGGTGGCGGCGGCGGTGGTGGTGGTGCCTTCCCACCGTTGGGGGCAGTGGGCCGCAGTGCTGCACCATTTTCATCCTTCTCCTTGTCGTCGCAGTCATCGTCGTCGTCGTCGGGCGGTGGGGCATCGCTCTCTTCGCTCGGAGGTAGAATCATGTCATCCTCATCCTCGTCCTCGGCGTCGACGTTCAACTCGTCGGGCCAAGTACCGAACAGCTGCAACACCGCCGGGCGAATGTCATTGGCAGTGACAAACTTCTCCAACAACGCCATACGTGCGGCGGTGATGCCGTCCTGCGCGGCGGCGACGTCGATGGGCTCCATCCTTCCAGATGCCAACTGATCGGCATGGAGCCCGCCGCCTGCGCGGAAGCGTCGCACCGGGTGGTAGTTGACGGAGGTGTGCGGCATAAGGAGGTTCATGGCACGCACCGTTTCCTGCGCCCGCTCGAGCTCCTGCTTCAGCAAACGCACCTTTGCCTGCTGCTGCTGGAAGACATACAAGGCATCCATGGCGGCGTCGCACTTCCGCTTTGTTTCCTCGTACTGCTGTCGATACTTGCTCGCTTCCTCCCAGCTGCGCGGGATGGTGAATGTGGAGAGTCGCTGAAAGCTGGACAGCTGCTTCACTACGTCGACGTCCTCAATGGCGGTCAGGCGCTCCAGCAGCGACACAACGCCGCACTCCTTCCAGCGGAAAAAGAGTTTCTTTGCCTTCAGCTCAGACGCCTCTTTTTTCTTCTTAAGAAGAATGTTCATAAAGAGCAGCGTCTTGTGCGTCACCAGAAGGTCGTCGCCGCTCAACAGCGGGATAAGCGGGGCGTAGGGAAGCACACCCACCCCAATACGCTTCTTTGCCGCCTGGTTGACCATCTTATGACCGCCCTCCACCATGCCGCAGATCACAATGAGGATCTCGAGCGTGGGCTTCGCAATGTTCAGTGGCACCAGCCTGTCGTCGGGAGGAGGCACCAGCAGAGCGTAAATCCGCCCCACAAGTTCAGGAATTTCTGCAATTTGCTCCACCGCGTTCACGTACACGAGCAAATTGCGCAGGACACTCAGCATCGCCGCCTGCAGATTGCCACTCGCCATTTTAATCTGATGCAGAAGGATGTTCAGCCCATCCTCCTCAAGAAACTGCTCGCCAAACTCGGCGCCCTGCACCAAAATGTTAAGCTCCAGCACCAGCCTGCGTTTCCGCTGCCCCTGATTGTCCTCATGCACCAATATGTCGATAGCGTCCCGAACGGAGGTCCCACCGCTGGCAGGTCCTTCGTTGGAAGAAAAGGGGGTAAAACTTGTGGCGGCCATTGTAGTGGCCACACGTTAACTTGCTGTACTGCAAATGGGCAAAAACACGAACACACAAACAAACAAACAAACAAAAAAAAAGAGCTAGTCGTGAGGGAACCACAAACACGCACATACGCACAACTACTCTCATAGTGAAAAACATCGTGTCTCTCGCCACCCACCGCGTGTACGGCATTCGATTACTTACACCGCCACCGCCACTGCCACTGGCCCCCTCCCTCGTTTCTCCCAAGCGGAGGAAAAGGAAGAACAAAATGAAGCGGTTTCCCCGCTTCACCCTCCCCCAACTCCTCCCTCCCTCCTCTACTGTGTTTCCCTCTAATGCATGCATCCAAGCGCTGTGTGCGAGTCCGTTTCCTACAGCCGGGCAGGCAGCAACACCCCAGCGTAACGCGTTATCACGACGGGAAGTCACACCAGGGCGTCATTCCGCTTAGATGGGTCCGGGGTTACCGAGGAGGTTTCCCGTAGCCGCGAGTTAAGCGCCGCCAGGGCAATGGAACGGCGCCGTGCCGCGTCCTCCTCCGTAGAGCCCGGCAAGAGCGTGAGGTTGGCGGCGCCGCGCAGCACTGGGATCGACACCGCGTTCTCTATGTCCATGTCAGTGGACTTTTGGCTGGCCTCACCACTGCGTTGCCGGCTGAGGGCGAGGCACGAAAGCAAATTTGCAGCAATGGGATGAAGCAGCACACTAAAAGCCACCGGGACCTCCACGCGGAAAACCGACTGAAGCTTCCACGAGATACACAGAGCCAAAAATGCAGGAAAAGCGGTGCTGCCTGGGAATATTTGCTCGCTATCTACATCCTCCCCACTTATGTTGTAACGTCCACGAAACAACAGGTCAACAACAAGTGCAAGGGCAAGCAGCATTGTTGGCAGGTGTCGCCGCCGCACCTGCGCGGGTAACACGCCTGGCAGGGCACTCGCTACCGGTGACGCCGCAACCCATGGAACAAGCACCGCGGCAGCAGGTACCCACACGCCGCAGAAGCATTGCAGGAACCATAAAAATCCCAGTTGGTGCATCAATACACTCAATACAAGCACAAGGACCGCGGTTGCAAGCCCTGTCACTAAAATCAGTTGTAAAAATACAACGGTGCCAAGCGCGTCCTCCACCATTGCGCCAACGCTGAGCATGTAGGCGACGCCGAACGCGCCGAGCACAACATTGGACTCTACAAGGATGTAGCTGAAAACATTCCACGGGTAGCTGTGCACGGAGAAGGTGTGCGCTGGAATGAGCCCAAACACTCGTGGGATGGCTGTCGACCACTGGCTGAGTGCAGCAGTTACGCAGAGGGAGACGGCAATGGCCCTGCAGACAGAACCGCCAGCCGGCATGTTCACGCTCCTACAACAATAGCAGAAATCCACCAAAGAAGAAACACGAGAAATTAAATACACTCACCATTTCAAGAAGCAACAACATCAACTAGCTGTGTGCGTTTGCCCTGTTGAGGTGGAAAAACAGAAAGAAGCGTTGATAACGCGGTTAAGAGGCAAGCGGAGCAACCACTGCAACTCCCCGAGTGGGCGCAAAACTATCCCCTACCCCCGGCAACGATAATATGAAATTTCGCGTCTTGTCACAATTAGTACGTTCCGTTTCCGAGCACTGCGACGGAGGAGGCGGAGAAGATGCCCCCGTTTCCGTACACAATGGCTCGCTTCGGCGGCGGCCAGATTTGTCGACCGCCAGCGGTGCATGCTATTTGCTCGATGGCCTCCGTGACGTTGTACATCGCGGGAACCTCCCACGGGGCACCGAAGCACTGCAGCCCGCCGTGTGTGTTGATGCGAAACCGGGAAGGGTCAATGACGCCGGGGGTTTTCATCATTTCATTGTACGCGGCTTCCACAAACTCCCCACCCTTCCCAATCGGGCAGAGACCCACCGCCTCTATCGCGTGCAGCAGGCAAATAGGAAAGCAGTCGTAGAGACCAAAAAATTCAATGTCTTTCAGGCCCAACTGTGCGGTGTCCAGGGCCAATTTGACAGCACGTTTGCAGGAGAAGAACTCAGGCGTGATGTCTTCAATGGCAGGGGGAAAGAGTGAACCGGAGGCTTCACCAACACTCACGACGACAGGCTTTGACCGATCTAACTTGTGCCGTGCAAAGTAGCGGGCGTAGTGCGCCTCGCTGGAGAGGATGAGCGCCACGCCGCCATCCGCACGCCGCGCACATTCTAGCAAGTTAGTGACGGGGGCGATCTGACGGGAGCGCAGTACGGCATCCAAGGTGTAGGGCGCACGACACATGGCGTCCGGATGTCGCGCCGCCATGCAACTCATCAGCACCGGCACCATCGCGAGTTGCTCTCGTTTGAGACCGTAGTGCTGCATGTACCACTGGGCACACCGATCGTATCCATGCGGTATGCATGGCTTCGCGAGGTCACTACCTGCCACACTGGCGTTGGAACGCTCAGCAAATGTGCTTCCACAGAGGCTCAATACGGTGTCCGACGCAACGATGGCGACGTTGTGTGCCCAGCCGTTCCGAATGAAGTTGCCAGCGGTGCCCAGCGCTGTAATGGGGCCAGCGCCGCCCGTGTCAATGGTGCGCAGGACCAGCTCCTTGTTCTCCCGAACAAGACCGGAGACGGTCGCGAGATGATGCGCCTGCATAAACTGGGGAGACGCCAGCGACGGAACTGCCACAAGGCCGTCCAAATCACGCATCTCCATGTTGGCGTCCCTGAGGGCCGCACGGAGGGCCTCAACGGCAAGCACAGAGGCGGACTTCCCGAGTCTTCCCAGGGGCGTTTGGCCGACCCCAACGATGCGGACAACCTGCGATGACATCGAAGCAGCCCGCACACACGCAAAAACAAAACAAAAATGTCACCTTCGCCTCTCCGCACAGAGAGAGAGAGAGAGAGAGAGAGAGGAGGAGAGAG